TGTATCGTTAAAAATTATTTTTAAATTATTTTATTGTTTACGAAACAAACAACCACTCATAACTAGAAAATTAAGTCTCGTTTAAATACTGGCCTCCCTTCAATGGTCGAGCCGGTGTTGCCAGCTACAACACGCAAAAATTTAACAAAAATAATATTAAAGCAGCCAAGACATAGCCAAATATTGTAGTGCCACATCACTAGCGGACATTTGAAATTTGCCGACTAGAACGGTCGGTTAACCGATGTGACGGTTAATCGGGGGTCGGATTATCGATGCTCTACTGTATATTATTAAAAAATGGATGAACTGATGTTATTGCAAGAGCGTGTTTCTCGAAACTAAATTGCCGTGCATTTATATATTTCAAAATACTAAAATTTTTCATTCAAAAGCTGATTTTAATGCTCATCACCTTATAGAAACCCCTTCTAATAGTGATATTACAATAAATGTGACAACAGCAGATACACGTGGTATCTCACATATTTTTTTAAAAAAAGCTAAGAAAAGTAAGTAAAGAAAAGAAATAAGTAAAACAAGAATCACGTGAAAATTTGAGGTAATAATTGTTATACAAAATTGCGAAGCAGTGGTGAGGTAGAGCAGCCGAAGATCTTGCATTTGGTGACAACAAACCATCTTACATTTTGCGACTAACTACACTTCAAAAAATTAAATAAATCGTATAAGATATATTCATTCATTCATGGGTGTTCTGTCCTAGGACAGGTCTGTGAAAAGCAGTCTAATTATAGAATTCTCCTTCTCCAACATTCTCTATTTCGGGCTTTTTCTTTTATTTCATTATAATTTTTGCCTAGTAAAACATCATCTATCAATATTTTTCTTTTCCTTCCTTTTTGTTTCCTTGCTTCAATTTTTCCTTCTAATGCCACTCGCATTAATTTTTCTCCTCGCAATATATGACCTAGCCAGTTATTTTTTCTTCTTTGTATTGTTTTTAAAAGAGATCTCTGTTCCTGGACCAAATTTAAAACATCTTCATTCTTAACCTTTTGTGTCCACTCGATTTTCTTCATTCTTCGCCATAACCACATTTCATATGCTTCAAGGTAGGTTGTTTCCTTTTTCCTTAGTCCAAGTCTCTGCTCCATATAAAGTTGTGCTTCAGGAAAAGCATTTTATTAACTTCTTTTTTAAGTGTTTGGTTCATTTTTCTAATAAGAAGGTTTTTCTTCTTATAAAAGCTATTTTTCCAGCCCTGATTCATTTTTTGATTTCTTTTTCACATCTGCTATCTCCCTGAATAATGCTGCCAAGATACCAAAAATGTTGAACTTGCTCTATTTTGTTTCCATCAATTAGGATTTTCAAATCTTTGCTAATTAGCCTTCCAACTTTCATCACTTTTGTTTTAGCTATGTTAATTTTCATTCCAAATTTTTTGCAAGTTTTGTTGAGTTTTGTTACCAAACATTGTAGAGTTTGTTCATTTGGTGCAAGTAAAGCAATATCATCTGCAAACCTAATACTTTGTATTAATTGGCCTCCAATTTTAATTCCGAGGCTGTCTTCACTTATATAGGCAATTAGATATAAGACTATATTATTTATAAGATTTTTATTTAAATTATAAGATATATAGGCAAATATAATAGATACTTTATATCAAAAAGTTATGTAAGATCATTTTTATTGTATTTATTGGACTCAAATGCAAATGCAAATGTACAAAACTTTAATTAAACAAAACGGAAATATCGAAATTAATGATACGGGCCTATTCATGAAAGAAATTATAAAACTAGCTGGGGAAATCAAACATATTTTTCTTTATCAAGTGATAATGAAGGACGAAAACAATATTTAACCAATATGTCAAATTGTTTCAGGAGAACATAATACGAACTTAATAACGTACTGACTGAAAAAATTTCTTACACAACAAAAAAGCAGTTTCCGATTATTCAATGGCTTACTTAAATGATGTTTCCAAGTTTCAATAAAGCTAGTTTAAAAATTACATTTCAGACTGTTTTCGTTTGATTCTTGGTGAAACTCTGCAGGGTCCTATTAGATACTGTGTAAGAGTACAAAAAACCTTATGTTGGCTTTTACCAAAAATAAAGATTATTATGTCAGATAATGTTAATGTAATGCATAGGGTTAATGTGAACTTGCAATAGTATAAATTAATTTGAAGAATTGTTAATTTTCATACTAATTGTAGCCTATAGTGAATATGCTGGAAAAGATAATGATATTAACGATAACATATGCACGATTAAGCATCATTTTTATTTAATAAAATAAAAACGTTTGTAATTTCTGTGAAGGTATGATTGAGAATTACCGAACATGGAATTTAAACAGTTTTAAGGAAAACGAAAACTATCGACATTTACGTTGATAATATCAGTCGGTAAGTCAAACGAGATGTTCACCTTAGTTCTAATACAAATACAAGCAGAATAAATCCGTGTTATTCACCTCAATTTTCAATTACAGTGGGTGATCGGTTAACGAATAGTTCGGACAGTGAACAACTCAGATAACGAACACTTTCGCGATTTTTATTTTCAGACAAGGAGCATTTCACAGAACGGACACAAAAAGAGATGGCATAAAATAAAGAATACCGATTGGTTTTTCCTTGTCTCCAGTTAACAATTCGAAACCTTTCGGAGAGTGGGTGATGCTCAACCCGATACCGATCAGATATTATTCCTCCAAACTTTGACACTTTCCATTGTAATTTCAGGTTTTTGTTTACCTTTCTGACAAATAATTTTTATAGTCTTTGCGAGACTGTTGGGCACTCGTTAAGTTTGACGTCGGTTTTTATTTTTGTGAGATCTAGCCGGGGGTACAGAGTAGTTTATTACTCTTGTATCACTTAGTAGGCATCTAGTTGGTAAAACTAGTTTTCGAGTTGTCCAAAAGAATGGCTTTTCCTAGTTCGATAAGAAATTCGAGTGTGGGGGAA